ATCACCTTAATACTTTACTATTGAGAACTCGTATGCACATGCATTTTGTCATATCATAGCATCCATGTCACTATCTATGCATTCATGATGTCTTATTCATGCTCATACATATAGGATCGCCCAAAAAAGTGACTCTTCTGGAATTCGAAGGAGTGGTAGAGGACAACCAAGAGGCACCGCAACCCGCAGATACCAAAGGAGAGGAGCCAGACACTGACGAGCTCCTGGAGTGCCCTGACCATCGCCCCACCTCGTTCCTGAAAGGCAAGCCTCAGAGCATTTTAAGTCTCCTATAATTTATAAAAATTATCACTTGAGTCCTTAATGTATGATGCATTAGGTTATAAGAGTTGATTAGAAACACTTGCTGCATGGTACTACCTTGTCTAGAAATATATACCTTGAACCCTATGTAGGTCCAGGATCGAACATATGCTTAGCCCTACTTAGATCGGTAGAAGTCGGGTGATTTCCTATCATCTGCGAGATATAGGTGGATACCGGAGCACGATTGGATATATTTGCCATCATGGAAAATAAACATAGGGTGATGTTAAGTGGAGACCGGGTGGGAACTTATATGCAACGGTGTTAGGTTGGCTATGTTGATCCCGCATGTGTCGATTAAGGACCGTACCGTTGTTGGCACTTCTGTCGAGATTGAACGCATGCCTCTCACTTAGTTGGCCGGATAACTCATTTGAACCGCAAAGCCGAATAGCTCAACTCAGGCCGGGCCTCGTTTTGTTAGAGTGCGCATAGTGGAGGTAGTAAGGATGTGCGGGAAGCAGGTGTGAGGCCAAGGGCAGGCTAGGCCTGATCGACCTGGCATCCGGTAGTGTCCCTAATTGTGCGGCACTGATCGAACCCGCGAAATGTGGACCTGAGTTGTACCAAAGGTGACCGTTGATCTGGTCTACCTGGGTTTGTGTTTATAATAAATTCCTAGCTGGTTGAAATCGATTCGAATCGCCGTCTCTCCCGGACAGTTAGAAACTTGACTAGCTCCAATATCGCAGTAAATGGATTATGGAATATGATGGATATGATAATCTTACACCGGCTATGGTTACTATTGTATGCCACTAAATGTTGTACCACATATTTGGCACAGGTTAGTTGCTAATCTAGTGATGAATAACTATAATTAACTTGATGACCGAATCATAAATGTAAAGTTAAATTAATGGCTTTTTACGTAAAATGTTGTCAAGCTAAACCTGCTTATAAAGCCTTACATGATCCTTGGAGTCACTTTATTTTTGGTTTATGACGGGTAAGTCTAGCTGAGTACCTTCTCATACTCAGGGTTTATTCCCACTTGTTGCAGATAATTTTGTCTATCACGGCTACTGTAAGAATTGCTTCTGTCCCGCTATGGATGAAGAGTAGACCCGGGCAAGGTGCTTCCATTATATATCTTATCTATGATGCTTTTGTCGGACTTGATCACTAGCTGGCATGTATTTGAACTATATGTGTGATGTTGTTTTAAAACTGCTTTGCATCCGCTACAACTTTATTTAGAACTGGTGTTGTAATAACTCTAATCGTACTCTGATGTATGGCAATATATTTGTGAACTATATGTAACATGTGGTTGTATGTTGAATCATGTACGATCTTGGTTGTATGTTGACGATGAATTGAGACCCTTCGTGGTACTCGACGGACTACCGGGTTTATTTGGGTTCAAGTATGAAAGTGTGACCGCTTTGGTGGTTGCCATTGTACTTATACTCTTATAAATTGGGCGGTTCTGTTACACGAAACACTTTATTTTCCATCAATTTTCATGATGTGAGGTCAAATTGAGCACTTCTTATATATATTTTTATCTAATTTTTGGATATTGGTTGGCATCACATGTAGTTTAAGTTGGATTTATTTTCAACACCATGCAAAAAAAATCACTTAAGCCTTAGATAGTCTAGTTCATGTTAAAATTATGTTGGGGCGCATAGAGATCATGTAAACCGAAGCTGTTATAATTTGCATTTTAGATTTAAACATATTTTGCCCAGAAAAAGAAAAAGTAAATAGAAAAAATTACACATGTTGGGCCTGAAAATAATGTTTATATTCAGCCCAAAATAAACATCCGGTCCAAATATGAGTAGGCCCAAAAACTACCCTCTCATCCACAGCCATCCGATGAGCCCAGCGGTCTAGATTAATCCTGCAGTGCATAAATATCCGGCGTCGGCTTGAAACCCTAGTCTTGTTCCCTCTCTACCTCTCTCTCGGTCTCTCCCTGTCACTCCCATATCCGCCACCACGCTCTAAGGGCCTGTTTGGTTGGAGGCCTTGGCACCTTGCCTGGCAAAAATAGATGCCTGAGAGTTGCCTGAAAAGTTGATGCTTTTTGCCTGGCCAGGCAAATGTAAGAAAGATGTGTTTGGTTGGTGCCTGGACTTGAGAAACTAATATGATGATAAAATATGATTTCTAATATAATATAACATAACTTTAACACTTATGATTAAATAATATGAAGATAGATAATTTTTAAATAAGCTTTAATATTGTAAAATAAAATAATCATAATCTAGATTGCAAAATAAACTTTAATATTGATGAACAATAAAAGATCTCTTCCATGCGTGGGTAAACAGTAACATGATTAGAATTGTTTAGGAGCAACCTGTACGGCTGTACGTCATTTGTTGGCAGTAAAAAAAAGGCAATAGTTAATTAACTTGAACTGACTTTAATGCTGTACAAAATCAGCAAGGCAAGTGTTGCAGCGCCATGCACTCGTTTTTGGACGCCTGGGCCTGCACACCGATGCCTGCACCAGGCTAATAACCAGAGCTGCATCCAAACGGATCTTAGGCAAGACACAGGCACCCACCCATCCAGGCAGATTGACTCCAGGGCTCCATCCAAACATGCCCTAACTCCGGCAGCGCGTCCCTTCCAAATTCGCGTCCATAGCTGGCTCGGACTGGCTGTTAGCCGGCGGATCCGGCCTGGCTGGAGGCCGTGAGCGGTGGCGGCTGGACGCGCTCGCTCTGGCTGGAGGTCGCGGGCGGTGGCGGCCGCACTTGCTCGCCATGGCTGGAGGCCACAGGCGGCGGCGAGCGCTCAGGCTCGGGTCTAGGAGGCGGCGGCGGCCACGCAGTCTCGGCAGGGGAGGTGGCGTGGCTGGTCGGCAGGAGGCCGCAACCTGGCCATGCCCTGGCTGGTCGGGGATGCGCCTGCGTCGCGTGGTGCGGTCCGGACGAGGCGCAGCCGTGCAGGCCGCCGGTGATGACACCACGTAAGGCTCGTCAAGAAGTGGCGGATCCGGCGAACGAGAGGCCAATCCTGGCAGAGACGGGGTTGATCCATTATATCCGCGGTGGATCCGGCTTGCGGGGGATGGTGAGATCCTCCCTTCTCTCCTTCCTCTCTTCTTTGTTCGCCCTCGTTCACTCATTCTCCTAGGTTTGGGACACCAGCGGAGGCGACGGATCTCCTACGGGCTTGAGGCGCGGGTCTCCGAGGACCGCTGCTCGGCGTCCCTATCCGGCAGGTGTCCGCGCAAGCTGGTCTGGACGATGACGGTCCCATCTACCAGGTATCCCACTCTTCCATTCCCCTTCCCCTTCCGTTCCTGATATATGGTCGTCGGTGTTGGCACGCTAATACCTCCGTCGATTTGTTTGTTTTTACATGTAGCAGTAGAGGGAGGAGAGTGTATATCGTGTACTCTGATGACGTATCTAGCCCTGCTTGCTGGCCGCAGGTTGTGCGTGTACACATGCCCAGCAAAATGGTAGTGAGTATTGTTTCAGTCTATCAGATTAATTTTTGATGAATTTACTTGTCTTTTATGTTTGATTCTGTTCAAACATTCTGACGTTGGGGTAAGAACCAAGCTTCAGGCTCAAATGTACTCGGTATAAAATACTCTTTCCTCATTTCATTGTGTATGCTCTGAATGGTGGCTCTTTATTTCTCATATCTGCTAGTCCAGATATCTGATCTCTGATTCAATTTATGGCCATCAGTGTTCTGGATGTCAATCAGCAATGAAAATATTCTGATTGGGTTGCAGTCTATTAATCTGAGATACAGAGTATTTTTCCTTTAGAAAAAAGTAATGAAACTGTCTGTTTATGCTTAGAAGTTACAAACTTTTATTGTATTCATCCACACATTTATGCTTCTCCCTGCTTAAACCATTTATGAGATATGTTTTGTTGTTTAGTACTGCCACACATTGTATCTGTATATATCTGAATGCCTTAAAGATCTTGTCCACATGTCCACTTACTCTATCACTTATATTTCCTGTCCTAGCTAATTAGAAGATGCTAAATATAGTTATCTAAAATGGTGGAATAGTTAATGTCTTGCATACATATGTGCCAATTTTAACCAACCAAGACTAGTTTGACAGAAACTATATTGCATAGGCAAAGTTCAGCTAGGCGCTAGGCGGAATCTAGGCGCTGACCCATTGCCTAGCGCCTAGTCGGGAGTACTCGGTCCTAGGCGCTCCTAGGCGTTTTCCTAGGCGTTTTGGCAATATAGCCATAAATTATATATATATTATGTATATAACTATATATATGTATATAACTACTATATATGACTATATGAGTCACAGTAATGAGTAAGTAGAAAAAGAGGGCAGTAGACATATCTGATTCCTATCTGGCTTACTCTTGCTTTCTTGCATGTTCCTAGCTCCTGCCTCCTGCAACACATTTTGACAGCCAGTAGTTAGTAAATTAGTCAACAGACACTTAGACAGCTAGTTGGTCATCCAAAAAAAATAGAAAACACTAAGTTGTGACTTATCTGGATGATTTCAGCAGCCTCCCATCCATGAGCACACCATATCAGCAGCTGGTAATTACAATACAAGTGCATAGGACAGTAATACAAGTGCACAACACAATTTATAAATAAAGGACAGCACAAGCACATAGTTCCCTCACTCACTGTAGTTCAATACAAGCTGCACGACATAATTTATAACTAAAGGACAGTACAATACAAGCTGCAGTTCATATTTCTTCGTCACTGTAGTTCACATCCTCATCGTCATACTCTTCTTCTTCAGACTCAAATTCTTCTCCTTCATAGAGCTCCCTCACTCTTGCACTTCTACGCAGCTCAAGCTGTTCATCTGCTCCCACTGCCTCTCCAATGACAGACCAAGGTATCCCGGTACCTTCCATCTCATCTTCCTCCCCATCTCTAAAGTCAGCTAATGCACAATCATCCCCACCCTCTTGGAGAAAACCTTAAGCTTCAGTTGTATCACTAGACTGAAGTATCTCAGTGATTTTGTTTGACTTGATCTTTTCTCTCTTACTAAGCAGCTTGGAGTTGAATTGGATATACACCAGCTTGTTGAGGCGGGTTGTAGTAAGCCTATTCCTCTTCTTAGTGTGTATCTACAATTTAAAAAGAGCATTCTCAGTTCTACAATTAAATTGTAATGCTGCTGAAAGCCTGAAACAGAAATGTTCATAATAGATAGGTAGTTAGGTACTAACCCCTTCAAACCCACTCCAATTTCTTTCACAACCAGAAGAGCTTGATGTCAAAGATAGGATCCTTGTAGCCATCTTCTGTAAAGCTGGTGTTTCATATCCATACAGTCTCCACCATGATGCTGAAATAAAAAAACACCTCTATTAGTTTAGAAAACAGCAAACAACAAACAGCCATGAGCCATAGGAAGTACCTCTACCTGGGTTGTAATCAAAGTTTTCAAAATTCCTAGCAAGCTTCTTGCTAAAGGGTCCTTCTCTATTCTAAAACTTCTTTAGTTCAATGTTGGCAGCTATATGCTGCATGTCCTCATCATGATAAAAAAAATTCTCAACACAAGATATAAACCCTTCTGATATTTTGGGCTGATCAAAGATTGATGGGTCACTATAGCTATAGTGAGGATTCAGCAAATAGGCTGTCAAATGCAATGGAGAATCAAGTCTTCCATTCATCTTCTTGTCAATAACAGCTATTACATCCTTGAACCGAGCCTCAACATTTCCAAAGGCCTCTTTGATCTGTCTCTTTGCCTTTAGTAGTTCTCCATAAAGGAAACCCATGGATGGCCTCACATCCCCATCAACCAAACGGAGGACTTTGACCAATGGCTCAAAAACAGTCAATGTTAGCTTCACATCCTTCCAAAAGCTTGGACTCAATATAGTTGCTGTTGCCTCTTTTCCTTTCTTTGATTTCACATCCTTCAATGAGTCCCACCTACTATGAACCACCATCTTCCTTAACTGGTCCTTCTTCTCTTGCATGCTACTCAAAGTGAGAAAGTTTGAAGCAAACCTAGTCACTCCTGGCCTCACTACCTCTTTCCCCTCTGTGAAGTATCTCAAGCACTCCAATGTCCTTGTGTGACCATAGACAAATATGGTAAATGCCTTTGCTTGGTCAACCACCTTCTTGAACCGAGTCAAGTTGTCAATTCCTTGGAGCATAAGGTTGATTGTGTGAGCTGCACAAGAGGTCCAAAATATGTGTGGTCTCTTCTCTTCCAATAGCCTCTTTGCTCCCATGTTGTTAGAGGCATTGTCAGTCACTACTTGCACCACATTGTCTGGACCAATCTCTTCAATTGCTTTGTCCACAAGATCAAAGATGACCTCACTGGTATGTGAGACATGTGACATCTCCTTAGAGCTGATGAAGGAGGTTCCATCAGCACAATTGGTGCACAGATTCATTATGCTTCTCCTCTTCCTATCTGACCAAGCATCGGTCATAATAGAGCACCCATTTTTTATCTTCTCGGCTTCACGTTCCTGCAGCAGACTCTTGGTTCTTTCATATTCTTCTTCCAACAATCTCTCTCGAAGTGAATCTTGACATGGAGGTACAAGTCCTGGACCAAACTGACCAATTGCTTCACACATTTGCTTAAACTCATCATTGTCACATGCATTGAAAGGTATTGCTGCCAATGTTAAAAAGGCCTAATTAGTGATCAGGAATAACATCTAATGAATTAGTGATCATGTAATGTAAGTACAGAAGAGTATACTAGCAATTTACCATGTGTATAGGCCCATCTTGCAATATACTTATGCACCTCATGTGTTCTTTCTTTCCAAAGTTCCTTGTTCAGCTGCTGTTGCTTCAAAGAATCAGTCTTGGTAGCTTTAGGATCAATAGCACGTGTCCATTTGTCCATGGGTCCTAATTTGTGAGGCTCTGAACTTCCAACACAAGTGACTTCATCTGACTCTCCAACCCTAGATACATTAACTTCCTCTCTAAGTTCTAGCTTACGAACAGTCTTCTCCTCCCTCTTTCTTTTTGCCTCATCTAGTGCTTTCTTGCACTTCTGTTTAGCCTCCATGGCCTGCACTGTTGTAGCCGTGCATTTCTTCACATTCTTTCTCTCATGAGCCAAATGCTGCTTCAACCTATAAATCCCTCCCCTCATCTCCTTCTTACAAAGCTTGCACTTCACCTTGTCCTTGTTGTTAGGATCAACAAGAACACCATACTCCCATCCAACATCATCCGAATTCCTTTTCAGGAGATTCGCTGACTCACTATTTTCTCCCTCACCTAGTGCACCCTCTGTTGTAGACATCCTACATTTAGACAATGGGCATTCACAGCAGGCAAAATCAGATCAACTCATTGGTGATCAAGCAGTGGAGCTTGGAACATCCAATTTACAATGAGATTAGAACATCTCTTCCCTAGCTAGTTACTAACTGCTTGCTACATTTTGTTGTGATAATTTTGAGTTCTAGACTCTGCATTCTTCATGTCTAGGAATGGTTCATCACTTATTCAGTGCATCACTTGCTATGGAGAAAAAAATCAACAAATGTCTAGTAATGTCATTAGGAACATGTGATCTGTACATAAAAACTTTGCTTCATGTACCTAGATATAGGCATGATCACAATTTGCCAATGCTGGATGGTTGTTCTAATCACAGGCATTCAAATCAGAGGAGAGAAGCAGGGGATGCATTCAAAACAGAGGACATGGAGGAGAGGAGCAGGGGAGGGGCCTGACCTTGGTGCTGCAGGTTCCAGGCGGGGCAGAGGAGGCGGGGCAGCAGCTTCCAGGCGGGGTAGAGGAGGCCGGCCGGGACAAGCCTCCAGGCGGCGTCGCGGGGAGCAGGGGAGGGGCCTGACCTTGGTGCTGCAGGTTCCAGGTGGGGCAGAGGAGGCGGGGCAGCAGCTTCCAGGCGGGGCAGAGGAGGCCGGCCGGGACAAGCCTCCAGGCGGGGTCGCGGGGAGCAGGGCGACCGGCGGGGCCGGCGGGTGGAGCTTCCCTCCGGCGCGCCGTCGCAGGAGGAGAGGACGAGCGGGAGGGAAGCGGAGCGGACCTTTTCCTGGAGCGTATGGCGCGTATGGCGACCTGGAAGGCAAGAATCGAGCGGGAGCGGACCTTTTCCTTCTCCTTCCCGCGCGCATCCTTTCCCGCGCCAGACGCCATAAGCGCGCGCGCTTCCGCGGCGGACAAAATTTTCGCCGTTGAGCGGGTCGTCCGCCTACGCGCCGCCTTGCGCGCCTGCGCGCCGCGGAATCGCCGCCGAGGCGCCGATTTGCGCCGCCTAGTCGCTGCTCCCGCCTAGGACTGTGCCTACACCCTAGTCTACGCGGAGGGCCGTCGATTAGCGCTTAATCGCGCCTAGGCGAGCCTAGGCGAGCGCCTAGCGGAACTTTGTGCATAGGAACACTCAGTAATTCAGTTTGCAACATTTAGTGAGATACAATGTACCTAGTAAATCAGAGAGTGTCATGAATTTTGATAGCAAACTGCGTGCTTAATTAGTTTCATATCTGTAGTTTCAGAGTAGTATTCTGAAAAGTTTCAGAGTAGCAATCTAGATAGGTTCACAACCTGAACCAGAGCTAGCAGTCACACAAACTAGTTTCAGCAGAAGCGTGCTGAGTTCCATGTCAAGGAGGAGAAAGTATTACTAACTGCTACTGGTGCCATTTCTCTTTATTGCTCTGATCTGAAGCTAAATGTATGAGAGTTTTTGCACTATTTAGACTATCTAAGCATATGACTAACTAGTTCCAGTTACTTTAATGTTAAGAAATATGAGCTAATTTATAACTCATGACTTGCAGGAACCATGACTGAAAAAGATTTTTTCCAGTTACTGAAGCTTATTGTGGAACCATGACTTGCAGGAATTCTGAAGCTTAGCATGGAACCATGATGGGAGGAACTAGTAGTAGTGTGCTGTTATCATGTATCATATTTGTTTATGGGCAAATCATTCTTGGGATCCATCTTTTCTTTCTACTTGTGTTGCACGATGTGGTGCTTGATGTAACTCTGTATCTTATGTGATATTATGTGCTGCTGGATTGAGTTCTTATGCAATTGAAAATGAGCTGTTCGCTGTATGTGCTATAATAATGGGCCGTTTGTTGTATGAGGTGTAATAATTAGTTGAAGAAATAAATTTAAAATGGGTTGAAACCAGAATGTAAATGGGCTTAAAATAGATTGCAAATGGGCCAAAAACAAGCTAAAAAATAACCTAATTTTTATGTTGGGCTGTTAATAAATGAGCTGGGATGGTGATGTCATCACCCATGTCATCGTCCATGTAAGTAGCCATGTAAGCGTCTATAATGATGTGGCAATTTATCCATAACGGTTATTTTTTGTCATAGAAAATGGGCTTGGGTTGGGCTAACTAGGCCTCGGGCTCTACCGTGACGATCTAAGATTGTCACCAATTCTGCTAATCCGTGATGGTTTTTGGTAAATCGTTACGGAGGTCAATATATGACGCTCAATCCACGACGATACGTGAAACCATCATAGATGTCGTATAGTGACGGTTTTTTGATGATCCGTGACGAAAAAATTTCATCATGGATTAACAGGTTTCTTGTAGTGCTCCTTGCACTTCCATGTGGTAGAAATGGTCGCCTGGGATGTTAGTTGTCAGTATCTACTCATCTAAAACTGGAGCATGGATGTGTAAAGAATCTAAATGGGAAGAGGATATTCTAGTATGCAATTTTTCAGAAAACTGTGTTTCTTAATGGTTTTATGCACATGCTGAAGGTGTCCCATATAGTTGTTGTTGATATGGAGGGAAAGACATGGAGGAAAATTCTTATGCCATCAGGTCCTGCAATGTCCATCCATGGAGATCAGGGTCAGTTGTGTCTATGTATTGCTGATATTTTCAATACGTTTGACCTTTCAATCTGGATCCTTGAAGACTATGGTACTAATAAATGGACATTGAACCATACGGTAAACACGTTGTAGCTATTTAGATTGAACAATATTGGACTCCGTTCCGAAGCTGCCAATACGGACTACAGAGTGATTGCAGTTCACATAGAATGGAATTTGATTTTCCTTGTTGGGGAGGATAGAATACTGATGGCATATGACATCAGCCGTAGAAAAGTTCATGTCCTCCCTGTTCGGATCGTCTGCTATCTTAAAAGTACCTGGAGTATTTATTTGAACGGACCTCACTATCTGCCTTATGTTCCCTGGTTCATGGAGTCATTAACAGAGCAGTAAATGTGCATATGTTGTATTTTGTTGTTAGGACATGTCTTTTTGTTGTTTTGAGTCTATATATAGTCTAATTTTGGCTTGGTAACTAAACCAATGGTATATTGGATATTATTAATTCTGCTGTTTTGCATTGTACAGGTCTTGAAGTCTCGGTGCTTTTAAACGATTTTCCTGCAACGGCTATGGGAGGAAGAAGAGGGGTTTCATGCTGCATTGGCTGCCAAGCTGATCAAGGAGTGCCAATATGAAGGAGCAGAGCACATCTACCTTACGTAAGTCTGTAGAGAGCAGAACCTTTATTATGCTATCTATGGGCCGTTAGTTATTTTATCATCACCACTGTACCACTCGCCTTTGGTGAAGCAAACGGCCATCACCACCGCTATTCGTCTGATGCGGCAGGGGTCAATAGTGCATCACCGCCGAATCATTTATTAGCCCGACACTGACTAAAGGATCATCACGGGCGGATCGTGCTGCAACGTGACGATGACCATGCCCTATGACCAGACGGTTCATATGCTGAAGTGACGGTGATGTTTGCCTCGACACAAGCAGGTCACACTCCAATGTGATGGAATAAGGATATGATCACGGACGGATCATAAGCCATGCAGCGGTGTTAGTGCATACCCACACATGCATGTCATGTTCCAATGTGATAGAAGTAAGGACCTTATCATGGACGGATGATAAGCCAATACAGCGGAGTAGTGTACACCCCAGTCAGTCTCAGATACCGACGGTGATGGCTATGAGTATCACTGCCGATAGCTTACTGCCGAGGCCGAAATTGGACTGCAATGTGCTGTGAAAGGTGCGAGTGTAGTAGTGTTGAGTTTGTTTTGTTGGAGTTGACATATCACAGACGTGCTTCATCTTGACAAGTCTCTAATCTCAAATCAAAGACATGCATTGTTGATCCGTCTCTGATGTAATGTCTTCTTTGTGCATTTTGGAATAGTGTTTATGAAGATTAGGGAGTCATTTATGTTATTTTACATAATGGTAATGGTGCATAATTTAGACCAAAAAATGAGGGTGTTACTTAAGATTATTTTCATAATGGCAGAGTTCTTTTTTTAGAAACAAAAACAGATCTCATATCTATTATCTATTATTCTCAATGGCAATTAGAGTGTTTCAAATAAATGGCCCTAGATTTCTATTTTTTAAGAGAAATTATATGATTTATTATCATCTTTGCAAGCAAGTCTTCAGATTAATGTGGAGGGACCTCCGGTTAGCAATAATAGATGCTCATGGTGAAATTCATTTGGGTCGTTACACCGAACGAATACTATTTCTGTACACTGTAATAGTATTTGTGAAGGTAGGGGCTGGGTAGTTGAACGAGAGTATGGCGCATCACTGAAACGCAGTCAAGTACATCTGCATCGGTACGTCAGATGTGACTTTCCCAGGAGTTTCGTGTTCAGTTTTCCACTGGTCCACACGCTTACTAGATTGCTCTGATCGCCCGCGTACCGACTGGCTCTACGACTTATATATTTTGTCGTTCACACGGCTTTTTGTAGTTCACTTGGGCCCAGTTTAGTTCCCCAAAAATTTTGCAAAATTTTTCATATTCCCCGTCACATCAAATCTTTAGACGCATGCATGAAGTATTAAATATAAATAAAAAATAAAACTAATTACACAGTTTAGACGAAATCCACGAGACGAATCTTTTAAGCCTAATTAGACTATGATTAAACACTATTTGCCAAATAACAACGAAAATGCTACAGTACCCATTTTGCCAAAAATTTTGGAACTAAACTGGCCCTTGGATCACACACTTAACAATCACGCTATATGTAGCAGTACATTAGATCCTAGCAAAACAAAACCATAGATATATAGCTAGGTCCACCGTGCTCTCACTCAAGAACGATGAAGGTAATCAAGGAGCTGGTTGCTCCGGCAGCCGTTGGCGAACTCGTGAGCAGGCTAATCTCCTTCCTTATCTCCCGATACACCAAGCAGACATGTAGGAAGGAGGAGATGTTTCTTCAGCTTGAGCTTGTTGCTCTGAAAATCCACGCCCTAGTGGACGAAGCGGAGCGGCGGCACCTCGCCCACAACCGGAGGCTGCTCCTGTGGCTCAGCAAGCTCATGGAGGGCATGTACCGTGCATACTATGTGCTCGACCATCGTCATGACGGTTCCTTGCTGGTGAGCAGCTCCTGGTCATTCTCCTTGTCTCGTTCATCTCGGCCTGCCAAGCGACTTTGCACTTCCAATGCTCCTCAACCCATCTGTGCAGCCGATGCCAATGGAGTCGTCGAGGAATTGAGTGCCACGCTCCGAAGATTGGAAGAGTGTGCAGAAGGGATGAAGGAATTCATTCTACTTCTTGCATGCTGCCCTATTATACCCCGGCGGCCTGCTGTCTCCAGCTTTCAATCTGACGACAGACACATGTTTGGCCGTCTTGTTGAGCGGGAGCAGATAATCAGCTTTCTGCTGCAGCCTGAAACTGAGAGCAGCAGCTTGGGCGTTCTACCGCTTGTCGGTGGCCCGGAGGTCGGCAAGGGCACCATCGTCAAGCATGTCTGCAGCGACGATAGGGTGCGCCGTCATTTCGCCATGATCCTGTACTCCTATGGGTCTCTTCTTGGTGACAACTCTGCTGAAGATGTACTGGGCACACTGCGAACTGGTGGCCACGTCCTTCACGAGACGTCACCTGTCGTCGTCTCAGGAAGGCATGGGAGCAGGCATCTCCTTGTGATTAAAAACACATACGAAGTAGTGATCAACGAGGCAGCATGGGCCTCGCTCTGTGCGTCTCTGAGATCCGCGGCGCCGGGAAGTAAGGCCATAGTCGTCAGCGAGAACGACGGCGTCGCGGACTTCGGCACCACAGCCGCCATGCGAGTGAAGCCACTGCCGCGGGAGGAGTTCTGGTACTTCTTCAGGTCACTCTCCTTCGGTGTCAGCGATCCCGGGGGGCACCCGGAGCTCGCGGTGCTGGGCAGACAGATTGCCGCGGCGCTTGACGGGTCATTCTTCGGCGCCAAGGTCCTCACACTGCTAAAGAGACGGCCTTTACTCCCGATGAGGAACCCCTCTAGTCCTGATTTTCCATCCGGAAACAAGCATCCGAGACTAAGGGGGTCCTTTAGTCCCGGGCTAGGAACCAGGACTAAAGGAGGACCTTTAGTCCTGGTGGGTAACATCAACCGGGACTAAAGGTGCCTCCTGACATGCTACGAGGCCGGCACCCTTTAGTCCCGGTTGGTAATACCAATCGAGAATAAAGATTATTTTTTTTCTTTTTTCTTTTTTTTCATTTTTTTTCTTTTCAAAATAGGTTTTCGAAATCATATTAGTATGTTTCGGTTCAAGCACAATGAACGTATTAAATGACACAATTCAAGCATAGAAATATATATATATATATATATATATATATATATATATATATATATATATATATATATAGTAACACAATCAATAATAATAATTAAATGAATATATAGTGTATTTTTAACGTACTTTGAGTCTCTCTGTAGGAGTTCTTTGAGAGACCTCCTTGATAAACTTGCAAACATAGTAACCACAGTAGTTGTTCCCCTGTTCCTGCCTCAGACACCACTTTACGAGAAAAAGATTTGTCATCCAATCTGGTGATCCGGTGAAAGCTATATGTTTAATTAATAAAGATGATGCAATTTAGGGGACTTACTTTCAAAGGGATTACATTCAGTGGCGCTTTGCATTTTCCCATGTGTTGCTTCTCAATAAAGGTTTTCCAAACACTGCCCAATAAAAAATTTGTCACGTCATCAGATATAGTTAATCATCATGTTTGTGTGTATATATAGTTGCTAGAGATACCGAAATTACCTCTGGATAATATCTATCATATCTTGGTAGTTTTGTTGTGGTTTTCTCATCGAGTCATAGATTATCAAGTGACTTTTCACCAGATCGATGTCCATCAATATCCAGTGATTGCTGCATGTGTTTATAGGATATAACGCATAACACTCATTAATTAACTAGAATCAACATGTCGGTGTTTTGGAACCGGGAGTCCCTCAACCAACGAGTGAATTTGTGCTGCGTGCCCCTAATCCCGGATGGTGATGCAAAGAGACACAAGGTTTATACTGGTTCGGGCAATCGAGGCCCTACGTCCAGTCTGAGAGATCGATCTTGTATTCCTTGCACCGGAGTGCTCGTAGTAGGGGGTTACAAGCTAGGTGAGAGAGGGAGCTAGCCCCAGGTCTCGGCGAGGGTGGTGCGGGCTGCTTGAGACGTTGTTCTCAAGCAGCGTAGAAGTGTGTAGTTCTATCAGTGTGTTTGTCTTTCTGCTCGTTCCTCCCCCTAGAAATGGCCCCAGTCCCTCCCTTTTATACTCTAAGGGAGAAACCGGAACGTACACATATTACTACCTAGCGCTTTATTAATAGGGGTGGCGTGTCCGAGCCCTGTAGCCGGCCACTGTTCGTGGCATGGTCGATGGAGTGCCCCCGTCCTTGTCGTGCAGAAGTGACGCGCCGGTCGTACTCGGTCTTGTGCATTGTGGGGCTCCCGTACAGCTTGACGCAGGACATGGCGGGCGACGTGCTGGTCATCGTGTGATGACGTCGTAGGGGGCCGTGGCTCTGCAGATGCCGAGGCCGAGCCATCGTGGGGCTTCGGCGGACATGGATCCTCAGGCTGCCGAGCCCCTGAAGCTAACTGCCGAGGCCCTGAAGGGAATTATTGGTCCTGGGTACTGATTCCGAGGCCACAGTAGCCCAGACGTGGCTCCCCACGCTGCGTTGTTCTCGGGGCAGGAGTTGGCAGCACAGTGAGGCATGGGCGTCAACCACGCGCATAGTGGTTGGCACAGTGGCGGGTAACCCCTGCCCAGTCCGGGCGACGTGCAGGTCATCGTGTGATGACGTCGTAGGGGGCTGCGGCTCTGCAAGTGCCGAGGCCGAGCCATCGCAGGGGGGCCCGACGGACATGGATCCTCAGGCTGTCGAGCCCCCGCAGCAAATCGCCGAGGCCCCGAGAGAATTATAGGTCCTGATGCGATTCCGAGGCCACGATAGCCTGACGTGGCTCCCCACGCTGCGTTGTCCTCGGAGCAGGAGTTGGCAGCACAGTGAGGTACGGGCGTCAATCATGTGCATGGTGGTTAGCACAGTGGCGGGTAACCCCTGCCCAGTCCGGGCGACGTGCAGGTCATCGTGTGATGACGTCGTAGGGGGCTGCGGCTCTGCAAGTGCCGAGGCCGAGCCATCGCGGGGGGGCCCGACGGACATGGATCCTCAGGCTGCCGAGCCCCCGCAGCAAACTGCCGAGGCCCCGGAGAGAATTATAGGTCCTGGGTACTGATTCCGAGGCCACAGTAGCCCAGACGTGGCTCCCCACGCTGCGTTGTCCTCGGAGCAGGAGTTGGCAGCACAGTGAGGTACGGGCGTCAATCATGTGCATGGTGGTTAGCATAGTGGCGGGTAACCCCTGCCCAGTCCGGGCGACGTGCAGGTCATCGTGTGATGACGTCGTAGGGGGCTGCGGCTCTGCAAGTGCCGAGGCCGAGCCATCGCGGGGGCCCGACGGACATGGATCCTCAGGCTGCCGAGCCCCCGCAGCAAACTGCCGAGGCCCCGGAGAGAATTATAGGTCCTGGGTACTGATTCCGAGGCCACAGTAGCCCAGACGTGGCTCCCCACGCTGCGTTGTCCTCGGAGCAGGAGTTGGCAGCACAGTGAGGTACGGGCGTCAATCATGTGCATGGTGGTTAGCACAGTGGCGGGTAACCCCTGCCCAGTCCTGCCTCCTGTCCCGTCAGTCGTTCTGCTGTACTGTGCCGAGCATGCGGCTGATGTCAGGGGCAGCAGTTGGCTGAGTTAATGCGACACGACGTTTTGTCAGAGGGACGGGAGGAGGAAGAGGCAGCGGAGTGCTGCCGTGCCCGCCTCGTGCGAGACGGAGGATCGGTGGCCCGGCCGAGGCCTGCGACGAGAGGGGGTCGGCCGAGGCCTTTGGTGGGGGGTCGCCCGAGGTCAGCAGTGAGGGGGCCTCGGGCGAGTCGGAGAATTGCAGACCTCGGCGAGGAGGCCTCGGGCGAATCGGAGAATCGGTACTTCTTCTGAGGCCTCGGCGAGGGGGCCTCGGGCGAAGGGGCCTCGGCGAGGGGGCCTCGGGCGAATCGGAGATTTTGGCTGAGACCCCGTTTGTCTTTCTAGTTTTTGTTTAGGGTCTGAGCCGTTTTTTGGTTTCTGCTAAGGGTACCCCTTTTTATGGTATCCGACAGTAGCCCCCGAGCCTTGGGGGGAGTGGAGGCACTCCCCCTGAGGTTCTGACGAGAATTGGCTCTTGATAGTTCCTGTCGGGATGGTGTTTTGTACTCGAGGTTTTGGTGGGTGCGCGCGAGCGCACCCGCCGGGTGTAGCCCCCGAGGCCCTGGAGGAGTGATTTCACTTCTCCAGGGGCTTTTTTCTCTTTCGAGTGAGGGGTTTACATTGTGTTTGCCGGGCCCGTGGGTGCGAGTTCGGATCGCAGGGCCTCGGCGATCTTCAAGGAAGAGCCCTTAGCCTCCTTTGGGCGAGAGGACCGTCGTGGTTCACCCGCTTTTTATGTAACCCTCGCTACCTTTTCGCTCGGAAGGAGGGGTGGAAGATGCCATGCTACCCTCGGTGGGCGCGAGCGACGGCATTTTCGGTGAGCTGTTATCGGGTAAGTCCGAGTGGAGGCCCATACCCCGTCATTGGGGTCGGCTAGCGGTCCGGGACGCGCCAAAAATACCGGAGGGTTTCTAGTGGGTGCCGAGGCCGTCACTGGCCTCGGTGGCTCGGTGCCTCCTACGGTGGGATCCCATTCGAGACCTCCCACGGGTCTCGGACACGACATGTATGCGCTCATACAGGCTTCGCCCGTAGTCGTCCCTGACTCTTTTGCCCTGGGGCGGCTGTCGAAACCCCTGGGGGCCCAGCCTTCGAACCCCTGGACCGTAACGGGCTTGGGTCGCTTGTCTTTATCTCGGGTGCAGGAAGAGCCCCCGAGCCTCCGCACGGAGCGAGAGAGCGGTCAGGGGTCTTCCCGACTTTTTTGTCCGTCTCCCACACGTCCTTTTCGCTCGGACGGGGGGCTGTTTGCTGAGCCCACTCGTGTGCGAGCCTAAGCCGCTGGGTCTCGGCAAAGTTGCAGGAGAACCCCAGTCTCTCGCCGCGGAGCGAGAGAGCGGTCGAGGTCCCCTGCTTTTTGGTTCGCCCCTCGCGCGTGAGGGTCTGTCGGCCGAGGCCCCCTCGGGTGCGAGCCTAGGTCGCGGGGTCTCGGCGTCTTTTGCGGAAGGAGCTCCCTAGCCTCTGCACGGAGCAAGAGGGCCGTCAGGAGTTCTCCCGGCTTTTTGAACGACCCTCGCGCTTCCTTTTCGCTCGGAAGGAGGGTTTGTATTGCCGAGCCCCCTCGTGTGCGAGCCCAAGTCGCTGGGACTCGGCAATGTTTCACAGGAAGAGTCCCTTAGCCTCTGCGTGGAGCAAGAGGGCCGTCAGGGATTCTCCTGACTTTTTGTTCGACCCTCGCGCTTCCTTTTCGCTCGGAAGGAGGGGTGGAAGATGCCACGCTACCCTCAGTGGGCGCGAGCGACGGCATTTCCGATGAGCTGTTATCGGGTAAGTCCGAGTGGAGGCCCGTACCCCGTTCGCTGGGGGTCGGCTAGCGGTCCGGAGACGCGCTCCAAGAGTACCGGAGGGTTTCTCTAGTGGGTGCCGAGGCCGTTCGCTGGGCCTCGGTGGCTCGGTGCCTCCCTACGGTGGGATCCCATTCGGAGACTTCCCTGCCGGTCTCGGACACGACCCCGGGCGTCCCAAGCGTTTCGCTTGCTTGGGCCTCGGCCTCGTATAGGCTCGCCCGTAGTCACCCCTGACTCTGTTGCCCTGGGGTGGCTGTCGAAACCCCTAAGGGCCCAGCCTTCGAACCCCTGGACCGTAGTGGGCTCGGTGCCCAGTTCCTTCACCTGAAAGGAATCGGGTGGGGGTTACCTCTCTCCCTGCGGCTAGCAACGGCAGGCGCGCCTTTTG